GGAGTCCACACGCCTAGAACACATGCTCCGCAGTGAAGAGACGCCCACACTCGCCACGACTAGAGAAAGCCCGAGCAAAGCAAGGAAGACCTAGTGTAGTCATAAATACAGAAATAAAATGCCTTTAAAACAAACAAACCCAGCAATCCCAAATTGGCCTATATTCCAAAGAAATGAAAACTTACATCCATATAAAAACCTGGACATTAATCAGCTTTATCCGTAATAGCCAAACTGGAAACAACCCAAATCTTCTTCAGTGGGTGAACAGTTAAACTCTGGTACATCCATACCATGGAATACAAAACAGTAATAAAAAGGAAAGAACTGCCCATGTTACAACATGGATGTATCTCAAGGGCAATATGATGAGCGAGAAGCCAGTCTCAAAAGCATCTATTTGAACCTACTGTATAGCACAGGGAACTCTATTCAATAATCTGTTATGATCTATATGGGAAAAGAATCTGCAAAGAGTGGATAGGGACTTCTCTGGTGGTCCAGTGGTTAAGAATCTGCCTTCCAATGCAGGGGACGGGGTTTGATCCCTGGTCGGAGAGCTAAGACCCCACATGCCTGGGGCAACTCAGCGCATGTGCCACAACTACTGAGCACCACAAATAGAGAGTCCATTTCCACGAAACGAAATATCCTGCAAGAAGCAGTGAAGACCCCAAGTGCTGCAGCCAAGACCTGATGCAGTCAAATAAAGTAAGTAAATAAGTAAATAAAATATTTTCTAAAAAACAGTGGATATAAGTGTGTACATATAACAGATTCATTTTGTTCTATAGCAGAAACTAACACAACACTGTAAATCAACTATTCTCCAATAAAAATTTTAAAAAGAAAGCTTCCACTTACATAACATTCTCAAAATGACAGAAACATAGGGATGGAGAAGACATTCGTGGTTGCCAGGTGTAGGGACCTGAGTGGAGGAGCGTGACTATAAAAGGATACCACTAGGAGATCCCCGTGGAAATGGGACCTTCTCTATCTTGACTGTGGTGATGGTTACACTAATTTATTTATGGTGTCAAAATAGCATAGAACTCTACACACACACACATAAATGCAAGAGAAAACTGAAAAATTGGGTCTCTATTTAACAGTATGATCCCAATGTCAATCTCTTGGTTTTGCTATCGTACTATAGTTTTACAATTCTAGGGCTTCCCAGGTGGTTCAGTGGTAAAGAATCCTCCTGACAATGCAGGAGAAGCAAAAGGCTCGGGTTCCATCCCTGGGTCCCCTGGGTCGGGAAGATCCCTTGGAATAGGAGACAGCAACCGGCTCCAGTATTCTTGCCTGGGAAATCCCAACGACAGAGGAGCCCCGAGGGCTACAGTCCATGCGGTCATAAAAAGACTCCGACACGACTGAGCGACTGAGTGCACACACACAGTTGTAGAATGTTACCGATGAGGGAAGCTGGATAAAGTGCTCACAGGACACTATGTACTATTCTTTGGTAACTTTCTGTGAGCCTATAATTATTTCAGTTAAAAAAAATTTTTTTAAGTACACGTATACAATTCTATAGTATATCTTGCAAGAATGCCCACAAACAAAAGCATATATTACACAACTTAAAATGGTAGCCTGTGGGGGGAGGGGTGGGAGGAGGCGTGGAAAGATAAAAGGAAATGAACAGCCACATTAATTAAGGGACCCTGTGCCGACCACAGTGATAAGGCTGTGAACTGAGAAGGCGATTAACTCAAGCCTCTCTGCACCTGAGGTCCCACAGCCAGGAAAGGGGGTGGGTGGAGGGGGATCAATAATGTTAAAGATAAGGCCTTTTTTAAGTGCATCAAAGATGTTTCCCTTTTTTCCATGAAAAGCTGGAGGAAGGTTGGAGGAGGAAGAGAGGCAGGAAAAGGGAGTAGGCAGAAGGGGCAGAAAAGGGAGGAGGGAGAAGGAAGAAAAGATGGTGGAGAGCCAGAGGAGGTGAGAGTAATGTGGAGGTGGACAGCATTCTTTCCTGGAGGCACTGGGCTGGGCTGGACACGGAAAGGTCAGGGTTGCCTCAAGCCCTCTGGAGCTCTGAGGCCCCACGGGGGAGGGGGCCTCGATTCCAGGAGCTCCTCTGGAGAGCCCGGGCTCAGCAGGACACGACGTGCTCCGCTCCTTGGCGCCTGAAACTTGGCACAGCTGATGTTTTGCATCTCTTCCTGTTCCCTCCCACCCTCAGCAGTGTTTGGAAGGCAGAGTTAGTAAAGCCATTGGACTAATTGTTTTAATTAATTAATTAATTAATTTTGGGTTGCACTGTGTCTTTGTTGCTCCATGCGGGCCTTCTCTAGTTGCGGTGAACGGGGGCTCCTCTTGGTTGCAGTGCACGGGCTTTTCATAGTGGTGGCTTCTCTGGTTGCACAGCACTGGCTCTAGGGTGGGTGGGCTCAGTAGTTGCAGCTTGTGGGGCTCTAGAGCACTGGCTCAGTACTTGTGGGTACTGAGCTTAGTTGATCCTCAGCAAGTGGAATCTTCCTGGACCAGGGATCGAACTCATGTGCCCTGTATTGGCAGCTGGGTTCTTATTCACTGTACCACCAAGGAAGTCTGATTGGACTATTTTTAAAGCCATTTGCACAAATGAAGTGCACCATCTTAGCTATAAACACAGCTACTACTAATTGGAGACTATGAGCAGTAAAGAAGAATATAAGGAAAAGAAAGAAATGATTGAGGGGACTTCCCTGGTAGTCCAGTGGATAAGAATCTGCCTTTCAATGCGAGGGACTTGGGTTCGACCCCCAGTTGGGGAACTAAGATCCCACATGCCTCGGAGCAACTAAGCCCCCATGTCCGAGTGCTGCAACTAAGACACAACACAGCCAAGTTCAATGTCCAGTAATAGAGATTTGCTTAAAAATGTGTGCCACATCCCTATGATAGAATGCACTAAAAATGAAGGTATGAGGGAATTTCTAACTTTACAGGAAAACATCTGTGATATATTTCTGTCCTGGGGCAATTGGCTCAGATGGTAAAGAGCCTGTCTGCAATGCAGGAAACCCAGGTTCAATCCCTGGGTTGGTACAGTCCCCTGGAGGAGGGCATGGCAACCCACTCCAGTACTCTTGCCTGGAGAATCCCCACGGACAGAGGAGCCTGGTGGGCAGAGCCCATGGAGTCTCCAAGAGTCGGACACTACTGAGCGACTAACACACACACACAGGGGAAAGTCACAAAAGATTATGCACTGAATAATCCCTTTTCTATACAATGTAAATGTGTAACTCTGTATAGAAAAGAGCCAGGAGGACCATCACCAAAATATTAATACCAGTCCACGTAAGATCTGTGCACTTAGCAGTATGTAAATTGTACCTCCAAAAAAGTGGTAGAAAATATTAACATTGGTGGTCTCTGGGTAGGGTGATACTCTTCATTGTGTTTTTCTGTGTTTCAAATTTTATGGTAGTAAACATGTTTGTGGGCTTCCCTGGTAGCTCAGATGGTAAAGAGCCCGCCTGCAATGCAGAAGACCCGGGTTCCATCCCTGGGTAGGAATGATCTCCTGGTGAAGGAATGAACAACCCACTCCAGTATTCTTGCCTGGAGAATCCCATGGAGAGGAGCCTGGCGGGGCTACAGTCCATGGGGTCACAAAGAGTCAGACACGACTGAGCAACACATACACACAGAAATGTTTGTTGATGGATAACAGAATAACCATGTGTGGAAGAGCATTCTGTGGGGAGTCTGGCAGTCCCTTACCCCCCTCTATTTTTTTTTTTTTGCAGGAACAACAGAACATGTGGGACCTTGCCGCCAGGGAGGGAACCCATGTCCCCAGCATTGGAAGTGCAGAAACCTTACCAACCGGACCCCCAGGGAAGTCCCCAGCCCCTCTGTCCAGAGGAGAGGCCGCAGAGGGCACCTAGGCCTAGCCTGGCCTCGGAAAAAAGCTGGCTCTCGGCCTCTGGTTTCACCAGCTCCTTGACTGGCCCGCTCTGGCCAGCTCAGCTCACACGCCCAGAACTGGCTGTTTCTGGAACCACCCTGAGACAGCAAAGCCAGGAGGCAAGGGCTGGAGAGGGACGAGCCAAGGTCACTTGATAAATGCTAGATACTATTTATAACTATCTCTCACGCCTCCCGCAGATCTCCTCCTTTCGTTTCACTCCCACAGCCCAGCCCATGGCAGGTTAGGGTACGCGGTGAGCAGCATTTCTGGGTGGAGAAGTGAGTGGTTTCATGCAGGTGGCTCTGCAAAGCTCGCTCTCCCTTGCCTCTGACTGTAAACAATGCTACCATTATAAAGAGCTGACCATGTGCCAGCCGTGTGCCTACATAATTGCACTTCTCACTGCAACCCTGTGAGGTCCCTGCTGCTCTGAGGCCCACATTCCAGATGAAGAACTCAAGGCTCAGAGAGGTTAAGGAATTCTCCGTAGGTAACACAGCCAGTTCGGTGGTAGTTGTTGCTTAAGTGGCTAGGTCTGTGTCCAACTCTTTCTGACCCCATGGGCTGCAGCCCTCCAGGCTCCTCTGTCTGTGGGATTCTCCAGGCAAGAATACTGGAGTGGGTTGCCATGCCCCACTTCAGGGGATCTTCCCCAGCCAGAGATGAAACCTGCATCTCCTGCATTGGCAGGTGGGTTTTTTTTTTTTTTTTTTTTAACCACTGAGCCACCAGGGAATCCGGGGTGGTGGTAGATGTCAGTGATTTGGCTTTACCAAGCCTGTGCAGAGAAGGCAACCCAAGTCTGTTTCAATAACAGATCTAGGATTACAACCCCCATCCTCTGAATTCCAGCTAGTGAGATTGCTGCCTGCGGGGCGTAAGTGAGTCCAGGCCGAGGCTCTGAAGATGGGGGTGGTGCAGGGGGGCTATAGACCCCATGGCCTAAGGGCAGCCAAGCAGTCGCGGGGACGTGTCCCGACTGGGACTAGCAGCGAGACTTCTGTCGCCGTCAGTGCCTGGGGGCGGAGGCGGGAGACCGCTGGACAGCGAGCAAGCCCCGGGGGGGCGCCTCCGGACAATTCCATCAACATGGGCAGGGGCGGGGCTTGGCGGCTGCCCTGCATTTCCGGGGACGCGGCGCCAGACCGAGGGTATTTGCGGGGACATCCCGGGTGCCCGGGAAGTGCGTCGGGCGGGGCCTGGAAGCAGGGACGAGTCTGGGTGCAACGAAAAGCAGGGCCGCCCAGCCGCGCAGAGGTGACCCTGTGGTGGGCGGTGGTCGCGCGCGGGCCGTGACTCTCAGGTAGGCGTAGGGCACAGGGCGGGCGGGAACGGCGGCCCAGGGAGGAGGAGATCGGAAGTGGGGAGGCCACCCCGCGGCAGCGCCGCCCCGGCCCCCTACTTCCCGCCGGGCCCCTCTCCCAAAGGGCGCCACCTGCACGCTCTGATGGGCACCCGCGCCGCCACTGGGGGAGCCTGTTGCCATGGGAACGCGGGAGGCTGGGCCCATGTTCCCAGGGCCACCCGGGGCCTCTGAGCCAAAACTGCAACTCAGAGGCAGTGGTCCTCCTGGAGGCAGATAATTCGGAATTTGGGGAAGGCCCGGGCCCCTCCTCATATGGCCCTGGCTATGACCCTTGAATCGGGTTCTTTGTCATAGCTTCTACTCTCTGAGTGACAACGTGGATGTAGGGGTTAGGAGGGAAAGGAAGTTGGGGTCTTGGAAACCGAGGGTGCCCTAGTGGACTCTCTGGAACCATCTTGGTCTGGCAAAAAGAGTCAGGGGCCTGGGTCACCTGAGTAAGGTCATTGATCTCTACTCACATTTCCTCGCCAGTAATGTATGTTGTTTGGCTTATGAATTGCAAGTTTCTTATAAGGGTCGAATGCCGTAAGGACTGGGAAGTGCACAATTAAGATATCTTTTTGCCCAGAGATGGTTTAGCCTTTGGTTTAGAAATCTACCCAGTCCCACCCCCTTATCTTCATAGGCGAAATAGAATCCAGGGAAGTTAAATTACTTCCCAAGACGATAATGACTTGGGAAGGTCAGGATTTGAACCCAGTCTCCTGACTTTCAGGCTATGCGATTCTTTGCACTGGTGCTTATTATTACTAAAGTTCAGGGAAATCTGAGAAGGAGGTGGCAGAGGATGAGATGGTCAGATAGCATCACTGACTCAATGAACATGAATTTGAGCAAACTCTGGGAGATAGTGTAGGACAGGGGAGCCTGGTGTGCTGCAGTCCATGGGGTCTCAAAGAGTCAGACACAGTTTAGCAACTGAACAACAACAACAGGGAAATCTGGGATGTGTCTGTTTGTAACTGGGTCTCAGACTTTTGGGGTCAGGCGGTCTAAAGATGAGGACTTTGGCAGTGGGTGAACTGAAGATGGGGAATGGAGGCTGACATCTTGGGGAAAACAGAGAGTTTCTCTCTCTGGTCCTGTACCTTGGAACTCTTGCTTTAATGTATCATCTGATGGGATTGCCCTAAAAAAAACCCAGGAAACAAGCATCCAGCAGCTTTCCAAAATACTGTCTCTTGTGAAGCCAACAAATCTGTTGAGACTGTGTGAGCAAGAAATCCTTTGGCTGCCCTAAAGCAGGGAAGTGGGACTTCCCACATCAGAGAGGTGCCTTTCCTTTGAAAAGGTTAAGAGGAAGGTGGAAAAAAAGATCCAGGAAGGAACACTTGAATGAATCATTTGGAAATGATTTAAGACAGTCAGCTAGAACAGAAAACTCACTTATTCACTTTAGTAAACATTTACTGAGAATGAAAGTCGCTCAGTTGTGACCAACTCTCTGCAACCCCATGAACTGTCGCCCACCAGACTCCTCTGTCCATGGGATTCTCCAGGCAAGAATACTGGAGTGGGCAGTCATTACAGTAGTGGGTAGACATTACCTTTTCCAAGGGATCTTCCCTACCCAAGGATCAAACATTGCATTGCAGGCTGATTCTTTACTGTCTGAGCCACCTGGGTGCCTGCTATTTCCAAACTCTTCCCTGGGGATGGAGATTAAAAACCTGAGTTATGAAGGCCTAGTCCCTGCACTCAAGGAGCTTGTAGTAGAAGAGAGGGATGAGATGTGTAAATGAGTATTTCACTACAGAATCATGAGTGCCTTAATGGAAATCTGAGCAGAGTGCAGAGGCAGCTCAGGAGCCACTCCAGAAATGGCATTTGAAGATGGCACAATTTTAGCCTTCGAAGCCTGGCAGCATGTATGGAGCTCTGCCAGGCTGGTCCTTTGTTGGAGACAAAGGAATAAGTGAGTGAAAGTGTCTAAAGAAATGTGGACAAGAATGGGTATTCTCTGGGAAGAAGAGTTTAAGGAATCTTAATGAACTGGAAGCTCTGTGAAGGCAGAACCATATCAGTTTCTTCAACTTCAGCGATGCTTAGAAGGCAGCAAGTGCACAAGAAATACTGAGTGAGTGAAAGAAGGGAGAAAAGGGGTAGGGAGAGAGGGAGGAAAATACAGTAGCTTATGTTATGAAGAGGGGGATGGTTATAGCTTGAGACAAAACCCTGGTTGAAATTCTGCCGTACGTAGAGCATCTCCACGGGGTTCTGGAGTCTGATCCAATTTCTGGTCCTTGTACTGACTTGTCACATATGTGACCTTAGCAAGTCCCCGAACTTCTCTCTGCCCCCATTTCTCAACTATAAAGTGGGAATACCATAATTCCTGTTTCACCTTGTTGTGAGATGTAAGTAAATGATTGGATGTAAAAAAGCTCAGCTCAGTGGCTTGCTTATAGAAAGTACTCAGTAAGTGTTAGCCTTATAAATGTCAGCTTTGCTTTAGGTGGGAGTGCATGCTTAGTCAAATCCAACTCTTTGTGACCCCATGGACTATAGCCCACCAGGCTCCTCTGTTCATGGGATTTTTCAGGCAAGAATACAGGAGTGAGTTGCCATTTCCTCCTCCAGGGGATCTTCCCAACCCAGGGATCGAATCCAAGTTTCCTGTGTCTCCTGCATTAAAGGCAGATTCTTTACTGGCTGAGCCATTGAGGAGGCCCTTAGGTGGGCATAATTTGCCTGATAATTCATGTCAAGGTATATAATAACTCTATAAAGACTAATTCTGAAAGTTCCTGTGTCTTCAGACAAAAACACCCCAAAGAAATTATCTTCACTTTTTTTGGGGTGGGGAGGGAGGAGGGCAACAGTCTCTTTGAAATCAAATAAAAGCTCTGATTGCTGTCATCATTCTTGGGGTTCACAGCTCACTGAAGCCAACTCTGTTGGTTAAGGGACTCCTTGCTCTGCTCCACTGCTCACGGGCTATAAGGAAAGACTGAAGGCAGTGTTCATAGAGGAAGAGACTGAGAGGAGCAAGGTGGGTCTGCTCCCTCGAAGAGAGGACTGGGTGGATCAGCCCTGGGTCCAGGCCCCTTAGAGCCCCTCCTAATTTTTTTTTTTTTTAATATTTTTGTTTATTTATTTGGCTGTGGCGGGTCCTACTTGCGACATGTGGGATCTTCGATCTTAGTGTTGGCATATGTAATCTTTAGTTGTGGCATGTGGGATCTAGTTCCCTGACCTGGGATTGAACCTGGGCCACCTGCATTGGGAGATCAGTAACCACTGAACCACCAGGCAAGTCCTCCTTCCCCAGCTCCTTTGCTGGAACTGAGCTGCGCCCACTCAGAGCCTTATGGTGTCCTGCCGCCTGGTGCTCAGCACTGGGGTGCTACCAGGCATCCCAGGAGTCTCGAGCCTGGGTAGCTGCTGTGTTAGGTCCCTGTCTGAGCATGGATCTGGGGTGCTACCTGCACACCGGCTTTTTGTGAGCATTTTGTTCTGGTGCCATGGTCTACGCCGGCAGGTGGGCACACCGTGGCAGTAACACATTCCTCCTTCCATTCTGTCAGAGCAGTCTTTGGAGCCACAGGAAATCAATGGAACCCACCCATCCATCCCCCACCTGATGGGCTCACCTGTCTAGGCCCACTCTCCGAAGGCAGTGCTGGAACCAACAGCAAGGCTCTCTTGGAGTAAGAGCCGGAGCCACCAGGTGCCCTAAGGTGACGGAACCACGGGGGTTGGAGGGCCCCACCTCTTTGGGACGAGAGAGCTTTGGTTCCCTGGATAGGAAGGTTCCTTCCCGGGAGTGATGAAAGGCCTTGGCTAGATCTTCTCTCCCTCCATGTAGCAATGGTCAGGGGTCTAGGGCTCAGAGTGGGACTTAAAGAGGAAGAACTGGGGGACAAATGGAGAGGTAGATTCCTGGTTTCTCAAGATCTTGGGACTGGAGGGTCTCATAAGCCAGACTTGAAACCAGACTGTCCTAGAGGCTTATGCTCCTTGCTTCCCATCCTTTCCCGGCCTAGGATATCTGCCTCATACCTCTGAGTGGCTGCAGCGGTTTCAGGGGAAAGAGAGTCACCGGACAGTAATTGTGCCCCTTCGGGGTGACAGGTGCCACGCATCAGCCAGGTCAATCAGCCAGGCTCTCCAGGCCCCCTGCAGGACAGACCTGGGGGCCCATGCAGACAGCCCCTCTGGAACTTCCATTGGGAGCACGGGCATGATGGTGGCAACCTACCATGTTCTACCGTGTCTAGCCAGGGACAAGCTGAGCCTGGCTGGTTGCACCACAGCCCTGTGGGGCAGGGGGGTCCCCTCCCAGGGAGCGGCCAGCTCAGGCCCCAACAGGCCCCGGTGGGGGTGGCGCTCGGGCGCAGCAGGCGCACCCAGGGCCTGGGCTGGGCGAGCCGGTTCCTTCTCCCCGTGAGACTTGCAGCCTCAGCACTGGGTTGGTAGGAGGTGGCCGAACCTGAGCAGAGAGCCCAGAAAAGGGTCCTCTAGCTTGGACATCGTAGGATGGTTGTGGCCTCGTTTAGGTAAATGAGGCAAACCCGTAATATAACGCATGTGGCTTTGTTCGCTGGGCTTTCACCACACGCAGCGCTGCCTGTTGCCTCGTGCGCCCTGTCTCCTCAGCTCTCCTGACAGCCCAGGCAGTACTGTTAGCATTCCCATCTCACAGATGGGGAAGCTGAGGTTCTGAGAGATCCCGTGGCTTGCTACAGTTCCCCAAATAACAGGTGGTGCTGAAATTCTACTTCTTATGGAAGAACTGGTGTGCTTCATCCCTGGATTCAAACCACTTCGCACATCAAGAAACATAATGGACGGGGACTTCCCTGGTGGTCCAGTGGCTAAGACTCCGTGCTCCCAATGCAGGCAGCCTGGGTTCAATCCCTGGTCAAGGAACTAGATCCCACATGCTGCCACTAAGACCTGGGACAGCCAAATAAGTAAATAAACATTTCTGAAAAAGAGACCTAAGGGATCAGTGGAGAGGAGCACAGTTTGCAGAACAGAGATGAGGCCGTTTACATTCATTGCTAGACCCTGGTTAAAGTTGCTGGTGAGACTCGAAGGCAGTGTCCGTGCTGGCCCCGTGAGTGCCCTCCGCTGCAGAGGGTACTGCCCCAGGGACACTCCCAACCCCCGAGATC